GGAGCTGGGGAGCTGCTTTGAGGGGATCCAGGGTCACTTTGGGGGGTCTAGGTGGTTTCTGGAAAATCACAGAAATCTCAGTCTGGTCTGAGGGGATGGGCAGCTGTCGGTGTCCTTTTTTGGGGTCCTGGATCCCAAAATCCTGGTTTTGGGAGGGGTCTGGGCTGAGTTTGGGAGGGGGAGGTGGGGGTCCTTTAGTGAAGGGGTCAGCAGCAGGGGTGGGACTGGGGGTGGGAGCCGGGTTGGGGGGTCACGGTCCCCCTGACCCCTTTTTTGATCCCCTCCTCAGAGAAGGACCCGTCCCTGGAGATCCGGTACCGGCACAAGAAGTGGCGGGAGAAGGAGCACGAGGGGGCCAAGGGACAGGAGCTGGAGCAGGGCCGGGCTGCCAAGGTGGGCTCTGGGGCGTCCTGGGGATGGTTTTGTGATCGGTTCCCCATGTGGGACCCCATAACTGGGGTGGGACCCAAGGTCTGGAAGGAATTTGGGAGGTCCTGGAGCTCCTGAGTCCTTTAGAACGGGGACTGGGGGGACACCAGAGCGCTGGGTCGTTATGGGTGGTGGTTTGGGGGGTATTTGGGGTTTCCCAGGGTGGGTTTTGGGGTGTCCCTGGGCGGGTTTTGGGATGCCTGACTCCATTTCTCCTCCAGATCAAGCGCTTGGCTCGCATGTATAGGGAGTGCAAGCTGGGGGTGGGTTTTGGGGTATTTATAGGCAGGTTTTGGGGTGTATTTGCATGTTTTTTGGAGTGTCCCTGAGTGGGTTTTGGGGTATCCATGGGTGATTTTTGGGGTATCCATGGGTGATTTTTGGGGTATTTATGGGCAGGTTTTGGGATGTATTCGCATGTGTGTTTTGGAGTGCCCCTGAGTGGGTTTTGGGGTATCCATGGGTGGGTTTTAGGGTGTCCCTGGGTGGGTTTTGGGGTGTCTGATCCCATTTCCCCCCAGATCAAGCGTTCAGCTCGCATGTGCGGCGAATGCGAGGCAGGTTTTGGGATGTCCCTGGGCGGATTTTGGGGTATCCATGGGTGGGTTTTGGGGTGTCCCTGGGCAGGTTTTGGGGTGTCTGATCCCATTTCCCCCCAGATCAAGCGCTCAGCCCGCATGTGTGGTGAGTGTGAGGCGTGCCGGCGCCCCGAGGACTGCGGGCAGTGTGATTTCTGCCGGGACATGAAGAAATTCGGGGGCCCCAACAAGATCCGCCAGAAGTGTCGGCTGCGGCAGTGCCAGCTGCGGGCACGGGTGAGTGGGGACTCAGCATGTCCTTGGCGTGTCTTTAGCGTGTCCTTAGTGTGTGTGTGGTGAGCTCTGGGCTCAGCGTGGTTCTGGCGTGGTGTTGGCGTGGTTTTAGGGTGTGGTTGGTGTGGCCATGACATGCTTGAAGGGGTCAGTGTGGCCTGGCGTGGTCTGGCGTGGTGTTGGCATGGGATTTGGTGTGTCCTTGGCATGTCCTGAGTGTGTGCTCAGCGTGGCCTCACCGTGTGCTCAGTTGGTCAGTTTAACAGGGTTGGGGTGGCCTCAGCGTGTCCCCAGCGTGGCTGTCATTGCTCCCCTTGTCATGTCACTCTGTCACTATTCCTTGTCCCTTTGTCATCCTGTCCCGTGTCCTTTTTCCCTTTGTAACCCTGTCCTGTGTCTGTGACATCTCTTGTCACAATTTTACCATGTTCTTGTGTCCCTTTGTCACCCTGTTCTGTGTCCCTCTGTCACCCTGTCCCATGTCCCTGTGTCACCCTGTCCTTTGTCCCTGACACATTTTCAGTGTGTTTTGCATCGCTCATGCATCCCCAGGTGTACCATGTCCCCGTATCTCCCTGTCTGCTTTTCTTGTGTCACCCTGTCCTGTGCCTCTGGTGTGTCCCCAAGCATCCCACGTCCCTGTATGTCTTTGTCCTGTATCCTTTTGTCACTTTATTCCGTGTCCTCAAGCATGCCCTGTTCCTGTATCTCTCTGTTCCATGTCCCCTTATCTCCATGTCCCTGTGTCACCATCCTGCCACGTCTCTGTGTCTCGTGTCTGTGTGTCACCCTTGCCACATCCCTGACGTGTCCCTACTGTGTCCCCACAGGAGTCCTACAAGTACTTCCCCACCTCGGTGAGTTACTGGGCCCTGGTGGGGGGAGGGGAGGGTGGGGGAGGGGGGACCCTTAGACTCCCCTTATCCCCTTGAGAATGGGATGGGGGAAGGGTCAGGCTTGGTCAGGGCACCCCAAAATCCTGGGGCGAGGAGCAGGGGGATCTCATGGGTGCATGAGGGGAGGTCCCTGGGGTGGGGGTGCCCTGGTGGGTGCTGCCCCCTCCCCAATTGGTGCAGGGGGGTCCCGTGGGTGCCATGAAGGGGTCCTGGGAAGGTCCTGAGGGTGCCAGGGGGTCCTTGGCAGTGCTGCCCCCTCATCCCCCCCATCTGACAAGGGTGCCATGGGGTGGTCACAGGGGTGCCATCGGGGGGTCCTGGGGGGTCCCTGGCGGTGCTGACCCCTCCCCCAGCTAAATGAGGGTGTCCTGGGGGTGCCATGGGGGGCTCCCTGGAGGTGCTGACCCCTCCCCACAGCTGGCCTGGGAGCACAAGGGGGAGCCTGGGGGGGTCCCGAGGTGCCGTGGGGGGGTCCCAGGGGTTCCATGGGGAGGTCCCAGGGGGTCCCTGGCGGTGCTGACCCCCCCCCAGCTGGCGCGGGGGCGCGAGGGGGACCTGGAGCTGCTGAAGGCGCAGCTGGGGCCGGGGCCCCCCGAGAGCCTCTCGGATGAGGAGCTGCCCCTCGACCCCCGGCTCTACCAGGAGCTCTGCGCCGGCGCCTTCGACGAGCACGGCCTGGTGAGCCCCCCAAAACCGCCCCCCGGGACCCCAGAAACACCCCGGGACCCCAAAACTGTCACCCGGGACCCCAGAAACACCCTGGGACCCTAAAACCGCCCCCTGGGACCCCAAATACACCCAGGCACCCAAAAACACTTTCTCGGCACCCCAAAATGCCCCCAGGCACCCGAAATACCCCACTGGCACTGTAAAACTGTCCCCCGGGACCCCAAAACCACCACCTGGCATCCCAAATACACTCTGGGACCCCAAAACCACCCCCCCGGCACCCCAAATACATCCAGGCACCCCAAACTGCTCTCCTGAGACACAAAATAAACTCAGACACCCAAAACCGCTTCCCTGGGACCCCAAAACTGCCCCCCCGGCACCCCAAGCACCCCACTGGGAACGCCAAATACCTCCAGGCACCCCAAATACCTCCAGGCACCCTAAACTGCTCCCCCGGCATTCTGGACTGCCCTGGGACCCCAAAATTGTCTCTGCATGTCTCCGTCGTGCTCCGAGGCATGTCCTGGCATGTCAGGGCGTGTCTCCGTGCTGCTCCCAGGCGTGTCCTAGCATGTCAGGGCATGTCCCCACACCAGCCATGCTCTGAGGCATGTCAGGGGGATGATGTCCTCAAATGTCCCCATATGGGCCAGACTCTGAGGAGTGTCAGACATGTCCCCAAATGTCCCCATGTGGGCCATGCCCGGGTGATGTGTCCCCAAATGTCCCTGTGTGGGCTGTGTCAGAGGGATGTGTTAACAAATGTCCCCATTTGGGCCATGTCAGGACAGACACGTGTCCCCAAATGTCCCCCGCCTGTGGGGCACACTCTGAGGTGCGTCAGGGCGTGTCCCCAACGTGTCCCCATCCTGCCAGCCGTGGCTCAGYGACGCCGAGGACGCGCCGTTCCTGGACCCCGTCCTGCGCAAGCGCGCCGTCAAGGTCAAGCACGTCAAGCGCCGCGAGAAGAAGTCAGACAAGAAGGTGGGGAGCACTGGGAGCTACTGGGGATTACTGGGAGGCTCCAGGGGTTGCTGGGAGGGTTCTGGGTGGTTACTGGTGGTGGCTGGTGGTGGCTGGTGATGAGGGAGAAGTGATACAAGCGACACTGTGAGCTGCTGGGAGGTACTGGGAGGGTTCTGGGTGGTGACCGGTGGTGACTTGTGGTGACTGGAGTCACTGGTGCAAAAGGTGGTGTGGTACAGTTGGCACTGGTACGGCTCTGGGTGGTTGATGGGCCATGATGGTGGTGACTGGGTGGTTATTGGTGCTTACTGGTGCTTGCTGGCACTAGCTGGAGGTCGCTGGTGTAAAAGGTGGAGCTGGTACAATTGTCTCTGGCAGCGCATGTGGCACTGGGAGCAACTGGAGGGCTCTGGGTGGTTACTGGGCTGTGGTGGTGGTTACTGGGTGGTTATTGGAAGGTTACTGGTTCTAACTGGGGCTAACTGGTTCTAACTGGTGCGAACTGGTTCTAACTGGTGCAGAAGGAGGTGCGCTACAAGCGGCACCGGCAGTGGGCATGGCACTGGGAGCTGCTAGGAGGGCACTGGGTGGTTACTGGGCTGTGGTGGTGGTTACTGGGAGGTTACCGGTGCTAACTGGTGCTAACTGGTTCTAACTGGTGCAGAAGGAGGAGCGCTACAAGCGGCACCGGCAACGGGCACGGCACCGGGAGCGCCGGGGCCACCCCGAGCGCTCGGATGCGCGGGATCCCGCGGGGCTGGGCCAGTGCCTGGGCCCTGGCTGCACCCGGCCTGCACGCCCACCCTCCAAGTACTGCAGCGAGGCCTGYGGCATCAAGCTGGCTGCCAAGTGAGTACGGACCAGTATAAACCAGTATGAACCAGTATAGAATAGTATAAATCAGTATAGACTGTTATGAACTAGTATAAACCAGCATAGAATGGTACAGATCAGTGTAAACTGATATAAACCAGTATGAACCAGTATAGAATGGTACAGATCAGTGTAAACTGGTATAAACTGGTATGAACCAGTATAGAATGGTACAGATCAGTATCAACTGATATAGACCAGTATAAACCAGTACAGAATTGTATAGGCAGGTATAAGTTAGCATAGAACAGTATAGATGAGTGTAGACCAGTACAGATTAGTAAGGATTTTCATAGCCTGACACAAACCAGTATAAACCAGTACAGAATAGTATAGACTGGTATACATTAATATAATCCAGTAGGGGTTTGCAGTGATTTCCATAGACTGACTTGAACCAGTATAGAACAATAAAAATCAGTATAAACCCGTATAAACAACAGTACAGACTGGTATGAGCCAGTATAAACCAGTACAGATGAATAATGATTTCCATAGACTGACACAAACCAGTATAGACCAGTAGAGAATGGTACACACCAGTATGACGGGGTCGCCATTAACCTTCTGCCCCGATTCTCAGCTGGATGTACAAGATCCTGTCATGGTGGATCCCAGGGCACCCTGTGTCCTGCCCAGTCCCAGCCAGATCTACGAGATCCTGCCCCAGTGGATCCAGCAGTGGATCCCAGGGATCCCTGGGATCATTAACCCTGTCTTTCCCCCCATCCTAGCTGGATCTACAAGATCCTGCCCCAGCAGATCCAGCAGAGGATCCCAGAGATCCTAGAATCCCCATTAATCCTCTCCCCTCCAATCCCCAGCCAGATCTATGAGATTCCTGCTGCAGTAGATCCAGCAGTGGATCCCAGAGACCCTAGAATCCCCATTAACCCTCTCCCCTCCAATCCCCAGCCAGATCTTCAAGATCCTGCTGCAGAAGATCCCAGGGTCCCCATTAACCATCTCTTTTCCCCAATCCCCAGCAAGATCTACAAGGTCCTGCTGCAGCGGATCCAGCAATGGATCCCAGAGATCCTAGAATCCCCATTAACCCTCTCCCCTCCAATCCCCAGCTGGATCAATGAGATCCTGCCGCAGCGGATCCCAAGGGAATCTCAGGGTCCCCATTAACCCTTTCCCCTTGGATCCCCAGCTGGACCTACAAAATCCTGCTGCAGTGGGTCCCAGAGATCCTGGAATCCCCATTAACCCTCTCTTTTCCCTGATCCCTGCCGGATCTATGAGATCCTGCCGCAGCGGATCCAGCAGTGGATCCCAGAGATCGTGGAATCCCCGTTAACCCTCTCTCTTCCCTGATCCCAGCTGGATCTACGAGATCCTGCCACAGCAGATTGTAGAATCCCCGTTAACCCTCTCTTTCCCCCAATCCCAGCCGGATCTACGAGATCCTGCTGCAGTAGATCCAGCAGTGGATCCCAGAGATCCTGGAACCCCTGTTAACCCAGGGGTTTCCCTGATCCCAGACGGATCTATGAGATCCTGCCACAGCAGATCCTAGAATCCCCGTTAACCCTGTCTTTTCCCCAGTCCCAGCCGGATCTATGAGATCCTGCCGCAGCGGATCCAGCAGTGGATCCCAGAGATCCTAGAATCCCCATTAACCCTCTCTCCCCTCCAATCCCCAGCCGGATCTACGAGATCCTGCCGCAGCGGATCCAGCAGTGGGTCCCAGAGATCCTAGAATCCCCATTAACCCTTTCTTTTCCCCGATCCCAGCCGGATCTACGAGATCCTGCCGCAGCGGATCCAGCAGTGGGTCCCAGAGATCCTAGAATCCCCGTTAACCCTTTCTTTTCCCCGATCCCAGCCGGATCTACGAGATCCTGCCGCAGCGGATCCAGCAGTGGCAGCAGAGCCCGTGCGTGGCCGAGGAGCACGGCAAGCGGCTGCTGGAGCGCATCCGGCGCGAGCAGCACCAGGCGCGGCTGCGGCTGCAGGAGATGGAGCGGCGCTTCCACGAGCTCGAGGGGCTCATYGCCCGCGCCAAGGGGCACCCACCCCGCGAGGATGAGGAGGTGGGCACCCCCTGGACCCCTCTGACAGCTCCCCGAGGCTTGGGGACCCCCAAATCTTTTAATTCTCCTCATTTTGGGTCCTGGAGATCCCCCTGATTCTTCACGGACAGCTGGGGACTCCCAAATCCTTTCATTCTCCTCATTTTGGGTCCTTGAGACCCCCTGGTCCCTTTTGGACACCTGGGGACCCCAAACCCTTTAATTCTCCTGATTTGGGGTCCTTGAGGTCTCTCATTCCTTGTGGATACCTGGATGTCCCCAAACCCTTTAATTCTCCACATTCTGGGATCATCTTGAGATCTCCCTGATCCCTTTTGGACACCCAGGTGTCCCCAAATCCTTTAATTCCCCTCATTTTGGGTCCTTGAGATCCCCCACACACTTCCTGGGGGCCTGGGGACCTCCAAACCCTTTAATTCTCCCTTTACTTTGGGTCCTTGAGATTTCCTGATCCCTTGTGAATACTTGGGGCGTCCCCGAATCCTTTAATTCTCCCCATTTTGGGTCATTCACGAGATCCGTCCCGATCCTTCATGGACACTTGGGGCGTCCCCAAACCTATCAAATCCCCCCTTAATTTTGGGACTGCCCTGATCCCTGGGTCCCCCCAAACCCCTGGACCCTCCCCCATCCCTGGGTCCCTCCTGAACCCCCATTTGGTTCCCCCCCAAGCCCTTTGACCCCTCTCTGGACCACCCAGGTGCCCCTTGAGCCCCTCAACCCTGGGTGTCCCCAGCCTGTGGGTCCCACCCCCATTTCCATTTTCACTTCCTGACCCCTGTGTCCCCCCAGAGCACGGAAGGGGACAGCGAGGACACGGACCTGCAGATCTTCTGCGTGTCCTGCGGCCACCCCATCAACCCTAAGGTGGCCCTGCGGCACATGGAGCGCTGCTATGCCAAGGTGTCCACGGGATCTGGGGGATTTTGGGGGCTGGGGGGAGCCAGGGGGT